TATCAAAAAGAGTTAGTTGCAATAGAAAACGACAATGCGCTATCGCATTTGAGAAAAATTTTGATTAAAAGAGTAAGACAATCCACTTTAGATCAATTTCTTGTTCCTTACACAAAGAGTTTGTTTCTTTGTTAAATTATGACAACGCAACACTTGGGCAATCTGACTAGGGGGAATGCTTTCTGGGAAGTGTTTTTAAGGGAAACTGGCCCCTATTTAGGAGTTACAGATGTGGAGAAATCCCGGAGAACTCCACGTGGCCAGCCCGTCTGAGCGAGGTGCGAACCCACGAACGAACTCCCCGTGTTCAAGGTACGAAGACCACTTAGCCACTGGTGGGGTTTTTACCGAAAGAGACTTCGACTCTAAGAATCTTCCGATGAAGTGCTACCCATCATTTTTTTTGGAGGGATTCCCTTTCTAAGCATTAAGGTTTGTATATCTCCACTTTTCTGCCAGCAACTACAACAAATGAAGGTATGTACAGTGCTATTTTATTAAACAAAGTTTACATGTTTATTGCTGTAATGATAGATACTACGTTTTCTTACATTTTCATCAAAGAAAATTATTGTATATTACAAATGACAAAAATTTTGGAGACTAGAACAGATTAATTGCATTTGCATTAATTTCTATGGGAAAAATTGTTTCGGTTAACAAACAATTCAGTTAATGAACGGAGTCGCGGAATGGATTAAGTTCGTTCCACTGTATAGCTAAAAAAAAAATAAACCAGCTATTTAGATTTCTAATTGAATTTCTCTGAGCATATTACAGATGAAATTCTAAATTTATTGTTCCATTTTCATTATTTAAAATTGTATAAGGCATGTTTAAAACTAGAAAACTTGTGATTTACATATGTATAAAAAGCAAATTTTCATACAAGATTATGTAAGATTAAGTAAAAACTATTTATGTACACTTAGAAGATGAATAATGTATATACAGTAAAACCTGTCTATGGTGACCACCCACGGTTCCTTCAAAAAGTGGTCTTTTAGATAGATGGTCGTCCAATACAAGTGGTCCTGTAATAACGTATTTCCGTACGTATTTTGCGCACTTTTTAGCCTTTCTACTAAGCAAAACTCGAGATGAGTAAAAATAAGCAAATTTTTTCAACGATAGGGCTATATTGGTATTATATTTTATTCTTATCGGATACTGTAACTTGATTTACAAGAGTTGTCGTGATTTTATAAGACAGATTTAATACCAATATTTTAAAGATTAATACAATAGTTGCATTTTCTCAATTATAATGCACACTTTCTTTTTTCCGATTTAATTCAACTTGGTTCTTTTCGTTTGCTCCTCAGTTATGTGTACTACGTCATCGATATACAAGCGCATAGTATCTCTACATCACTTTGGTTTTGGTATTCGTTAGTTTAATCTTATTTTAACTTTATTAAATAATAAAAAATACAGTATTTTTATTTTCTTAAGTACAATAAGAAAAATAATTAATAATAAAATCGTTTTATTATTATGTCTCATTATACGATTTCATTACATTCCGCGATTGTCATTGTGGAATCGAAAAAGGAAGGTTGCTCGTAAAACTGATTTTTGCATTAATGCGTTTATTGTTTTTTGAATATTTTGCGTGCAAAAATTACTGGATATTATTTTTCTAAAAATATCGTGGAAATAATGTACATTGATACAGAAACTATTTATCACACATGCACTGTATATGAGCTTCAAAAAAATAATAGTAATAATTAAATAAAATAAATTTTATCAAACGATGAGATCAACCGATTAATTGTATTGTGCACAATATTTTATACCCCTAAGGAAAATACTGTAGGTGTACGGTAAAATAAATTTCGTTTTCCCATTTAAACTTTGTCACTAATTGCCGTTGTGATAAACCATTTTCACTTTATCTGATAATTTTCACACGATCTTCTAACGACAGCACTTTGCATTTCTTTCGTTTTTCGGACATTTTCCAACAAACTGAAATGAATTTCCTTTGTTGCTAGACTAATTTATTAACACCTGCACCTAATTTCAAGGGTGAGAGAAGTGCTCAGGATGGGTTCGAATGAGAGTTTAGACTAATTGATTATATTAGGGAGGGGGAAACGTCATTGAGATGAGTTCGAACAATAGTTTAGACCAGATACATTCGCGAAAGTGGTCGCTTATTACAGGTGTTGTATGTTGTTTCAGACCAAAAATCGATGCCCGCGGTCGCGTTACACAGGTGGTCGTTTAATACAGGTAACTTATACAAAGACTCTATGGATAAACTATTCCATGCCAGAAATTTTTGCCCGTTTTGACAGGTGCCCGTCGAATGCAGGTGGTCACCTAAGCAGTTTTTACTGTACAGAGATGCATTTACAATTTTAATGCATGTTTTATAAGTAAAAATACATCAAGTTTAATACAGATACATTTACCTTGTCTCCATATTTTAGCCTCATATAATGATGTAGCTCCCGGAATCTTTTGTAACGTCGATAGATTGTCCAAGTGTCTGCATTCACATAAATCTTTACTTCATATTCATAATGAGCACCGCTTCCACTTCCTCTCATTGTATAAGAAGGAATTGAAAATTTTATTGATTCTACTGCTCCATTTTCTCGAATGTGATTCTGATGTTAAAAAAAAATTACAAAAATTAACAGCATATGTTAAATTGATTATTTGCATTTTATCTTAACAAATACAATTTACTTACATTTAAAGTACATGCAGTAGTAGTGGCTTCAGTAGGAAATCTATATCAAACAAAATAACAACAGTGAAGCCAATATTAATGAATATTTATATATTATAATAAGATAATCTTGCCTAGATTCAACATGCTGTTGGAAGCTCTTAAAATATTTCTGATCATTTTTCAGATATTCTCGTTCTAACCGAAGTTTTTCTTCAAATAACCTTCTCTGAACTTCCTGTTCTACAAGACAGTTAATTCTACAGAAAGATATCAAATAATACAAAATTTTCAATATATCTTATAATTGTATTTCTAAAAGTGTAAGAAAGTAAATTTTAATTTATATTTGAAGAAGAAAAAACATTGTAATAGATTTTCATAGTTAAAATATATTTTCCCCTATATTTTTAGAAAATAAATTAATTTTATTATCATCATCATCAATATTAAATCAATTAATGGTGCAACCAATATCAAAACTTGGTCTTAAATATTAAAAATTATACATCCATTTTCAGAAACAACTATGCTTCAATTATATTTTTCATGCATGTTTTCTTTTTACAATTGAGATTTACTGCACAACAAATCAAATATATTTTTGATTTAAAAAATAACCAACATTCTCAAAACTTGACTGTTTGGATAAAGTAGCTTACTGTAAAATTTGACCTTAAACAGTCTCAACAGTGGAAATTAAACATAAGTTGACAGTTTTTATAATTAAATCAATTTGAAATATTAAAAATTTATCAAAAAACTCAAGGCAAACCTTCCAAAATTCAGAAGATCAAATATATGCATAATAATTTATATGCAAAACAGGGTTATGTAAGCAATATAAGCTATTTTGCACAAGGATAAAAAAAAACATTATAACCAATGGAAAATCCAATTTACTATTCTAATAATACTATTTCAACCAAGTATGTTGCAATTTTTTTTTTCCAATCTGCTTTTTGTGTATAACAGAATTAATATTATGAAAATAATGAAGTTTTGTTAAAAATAAAAATAATAATAATATAGCAGTAGCAAGAATAAACACATCCTTAGAGTAATTAAATACAAGTTCTTTATATAAATAAATAAATAGGACAGCCAGATGAAATAGGACATGGTGGTTTCAACACCAAACTCCTCAGTGACAAGCTTCACACTTACACTGCTGTTGAGTTTTTCCAACTTGATTTTGTGTTATATATAAATTTAAATGCTTTTCTCTTTTCATTATTACTAAGAGTATTTGCAGGTCTTTTTGCCATTTTCACAGGACACAAAGGAGTGCATGCATATATTAACATGTTGCTACAATGGCAGCTAACAACAAACTAGGGATTTTTTTTAAAATTAATTTATAAAAATGATGTTCATCTGAATTTCAGAAGATTAGGTTGAAATACAATCAGTCACATAAATTATGTATTTAAATTGTGTGTGTTTTTAAATTTATGTTCAAAAAATGAGAGTATATTAAAAAGCAGGTTTAAACAGCTACACACACAAAATATTAATATAAAATGTAACATTTATATCACTGTCTGTCAACATTTTGAAAAAAAATTTATTTTGCAAGTACTTTCAACAGTCTAAAACTGTCCTCTTCAAGCAGAATCATTATTAGAACTTCCAGAGAACAAGAATCTGAACATCAACTGACATTTTTTCAAAATTGTTTGTCCCATATGTGCATGGAAATTTAAATTATATATGCACAGTTTACAAAAATTATACTTTAATACAAAATACAATGAAATGTAAAATAAAATATCAAGAATAAATGGAGTAAAATAAAGCCTATGTATGATAATGAATTAAATAGTCAATAAATAAACACAAACATATGATGGCACTACTGTCACTAGAAGGTGTTTTATTGGGAACCATGTGATTTAGAACCTTAGAAGGCTAAACAGTGCTGTCCACAACTTTGGTATATTCAGTGTGGGAGAGTTGCACGGTGACAACAATGAGATGTAAAGTGATTCCGATATAAATAATGTTTTTCAATCCCCACAGCATTTTAGAAGGGAAACTTGTGACCAAATTGGTTCAAAGTTACTTTCTATTGCTTTTTTAGCTAACTCTGTTGTATACTTGCTATGCGCTATATCATCATGATGTTCTGCAAGACAAGAGATGGAGCATTCTAGTAGTGGCTCCAATATATAATAGTATGATACTCTACGAAAAGTCTGAGGTATATACTATACCTCAGACTTTTGCAAGTACTTTCAACAGTCTAAAACTGTCCTCTTCAAGCAGAATCATTATCTGAGAATCAGTCTGAGATATAGTATATACCTCAGACTTTTCATAGAGTGTAACTGTAACCCCATCTTTATCATTACAAAGTATCCTACATAAAGTGGGCTGAGGCACTAGTGGCAAAATATAGCTAAATTTCTTGAAGACTTGATAAATAGGTAATGATGCAGAACCCAAGTACAGAATGGCTGGGGTTACAAAAAATAATTCCTTCTTAGAATACAAAGTGGATGGTGGAAACAATATGCATTTGACCCAGTTAACTAAATGTTTGAACTTGGCTAAAGAATACCCAGCACTGCAAACAATCAATTTAAGGGAAATCTGCTCATCTACAAATGGATATAAAAACACCCTGCGTATCAGTGCTATAATAGCCATATTTTTGTACCTTGAGAGCTGAAAAGCCATAGAAGGGATGACGTAAGGAGGTTCACCAAATTTATGATATACAGAAAGTAAGATGCTGTTGTGAGACCAATATACAAGTAGATCTAAAAAAGAGTTCTTTGAATCTTTCTTCTTCTCCATAGTAAAGGAAATAGTCGGGAAAATAGTCAACAGCGATTGTATAAACTCCAGTAACTATATCTGAGCCTTCCCATGCAAGTAAAATGTCATCAACATACCTCAAATATAGGAGGGGATTATGTATGGTAAGCAGGGATCTAAAAACTTTGAATTCTATGGCTCTCATGACTAATTCTGCCAAGATGACTGATAGGGATGAGCCCATAGACACTCCCTGCTTTTGCAAGTAAATATTACTATTGAAACAGAAATAGTTGTTCTCAGTAATTAGTAAAAGTCTCTCTCTCAACCCCAGTATTTGTGGAATGGAATAACCATTTTCAATTAGTAATGTATTTGCAAGCATCACTGCTTCAAAATGGGGCACAGATGGGTATAAAGAAACCACATCTATTTTGAATAAACAATAGAAATTTGGAGGTATGGCCCCAAAACTACTAATTATAACGAACTTTGCTTCCAGAGTAGAAGATACAACCAGATTACAATTAGGCATTAAAGCAGCAATTTTCCTAGCAAGCACTTTTTCTAGGAAATACATTGGGTGGAAACACTTATTCACTAAGGGACAGAGTGGCCAGGTAGACTTATGCATTTTTACCTCAAAGAATAGTCTAGAACATGCAACATTGGTCAGTGGATCTAGAGGGTCAGATAATGCTGATGTTACACCTGGTAAAGTGACAAGTTTTTTTACTTTTGTCAGCACTGAAGGAGTTGGATCTTCTCTCATTAACATAGATCCCAATTGTAGGAGGAAATCATTGGCCATACACAAAAAGTCATCATTTTTGCACAGAAAAACTTCTTATCTTTGTACGAGACTAAAAGTCTTAGATTCAGAGTGTTTAAGAACTGTGTGACAACTCTCTTTCCTCTATTCAAATGAAGTAGCAGTTTGTAGACACTGTGCACCAGATATCTTTTCAAAATTAATTCATGTATAATTTTTGTAAACTGTACAGTACATGTATAATTTAAATTTCCATGTGTGTACAAGACAAACAATTTTGAAAAAACATTAGTTGATGTTCGAATTCTTTCCTTGAATTCAAATGTCTTGTTCTCTGGAAACTCTACTAATGATTCTGCCTGAAGAGGACAGTTTTAGACTGTTGAAAGTACTTGCAAAATAAATCTTTTAAAAATAAATTAAAATATTTAAAACGATGGAATCACAATTTTCTAATCTTACTTAATTGTACTGTGAGTGAGTACATGAAAATTCAAATTTCCCTTCTTTTCTGACTTATGGAGGCATAAAAACTTCTAACTCTAAACCATTTGCTAAATGAAATAGAATAAAAGGTTAAAGCATTCTAATTCTATTTCATTTAGCAAATGATTTAGAATTCAGAAGTTTTTAAGCTTCCGTAAGTCAGAAAAGAAGGGAAATTTGAATTTTCATGTACTCATTCACAGTACAATTAAGTAAGAAAAATAAATCTTTTTTTTTCATAATGCCAATAGACAGTGATATACATGTTTCATTTTATATTGAAAAGCAGTTACTCTTGTTATCTTTCTATTTCTTCTTCATTATAAAACAAGATCGACCACATTGGCCAAAACAAATTCAGCAATGAAAATTGATAAAGTATTTATTGAAATCAATACTTTACTTTTTACCTTTTCTGTTGTTCTAATTCTTGCAAATGGAATCTTTCCATTTCAATATGATCTAATTCTTGTAAACGTTCTTCCTCAAAAGCTTTTCTCCTTCTTTCTAATTCCTGTTGAAGCATATGAAACTGATCTTCTACAAATTTTGCCATCTTAATAATATGCAAAAAACTAATGTATGAATATTTCATATAATACAATTAAAAAATAGAGATATTAAAAATTTACCAAAGTTTGATTTTTCCATTCATCATTTGTAGAACCATTCAAACTTCTATTGTCCATTAACTGTTCATCTTGCATCACTAAAGTGCTAAATTGTGTTTTATTCTATTTATTTGTTATAAATACAAATGTAGATTATTTCCAAAATATTTAAAAACTACAATTAACAAAGCTACATGTTATTAGATTTAATTTTATGCCTTACAATACATCCTATTTAAAGAAAATTTACTTGTCCATACAAAAGACAACTTATTTTACTTTTAACATACAAGTACACATTTATATAAATACTGCATAGACAAATATAAAATATGTACTCATTAACGAAAAAGTTATGTATCAAGAAGGAAGCATTGGAATCAAATGAAACTTACTATCATCATTAAGTTTGCTTTAATTAAAGTGATTACAATATCATAGAAAAGACAATTTCATGTGCAACAACAGTACAATTTAAAAGAAACCTTTAGTACTTTGTAGGACCCCTCTCTTGATTGGATACATGCAATGCTACAGTTGTGCATGAATACAGATATTGTACAGTATTCTTCAACAGATTTACCCATGCTCTACAGATGTAACTGGTGCTCTAATTCATTCACACTCTGTCGCCCTTTGCAATAAAAGTAGGGACCATCTACGCCCTTTTGACTCCTGGGCGTATAGTTGCACGTTGTCTTGCCAGGCGGAGACACTTTTGGCCTGGCTTTGGACCAAGACAGCCCCTTTGCATTCTTTTCTATTCTCACGGCAGTTGACTGACAAGCCAGACTGTCACCATTGCAACGCTGAGGAAACATTGCTGCACTACTGGCTACACTGCCCGAACTATATCAGGTCTCACAAAGACCTAGGCAGCACATTGACTTTAAACATGTCACTTGCTCGCACTTTGACGCCAATATACCAGCCTAATACTTCCATTACCCCTTGTCAACACATGGCAGAGCTGGAACGATATATCTATCTTACTGGTCACTTCACATAAACAATGGGCAACACTTATCGGAGAAAGAGCCAAGAAGGCTATAATCTCCATATGAAACAGTAGTAATAATAATAATAAGAAGAAGAATTCACACTTTTAGATGGCCAAAGTTAACATCTCATCTGGACCCAGAAATGCTCAATGGATGACAAATCTGAAAACTAGACATGCCAAGGAAACATGGCAATGTGATGAAGACATTCCTGTGAAACACTACTGTGAGCAACACTGCAACGAAAGGCAATATGAGGTTGTAGCTTTTCCTGAACTTACCATTGTGCTGTGAATGTTCTTCACAACCACTGTTAGGGTCAAATAACATGATCACTTTCTAGACCAGCAAAGAAGCAATGAGGGAGTGTACCACTCAACAACAAACATGAGAATGAAGTGCTCATTAGTGGTCCTCCACACCAATATAGTCATCGATTTCCAAACAGAACAGAGATTTGTTACTAAAGACTATAAGCTGCCAAGCCATAGCAGTCCATGCTTTCCGTCAAGAGACAACTGCAAACAAATCCAATAATATTGGAGTGCTAATGGCAGGATGCATAGCAGTCTCTGTGCATGCAAATTTGTCAACAATATAGGAAGAGATAAAATTTCTATTATAAAGATGTTTCCAGCTATTTCTGGATGGTCAACAAAGATACCATTGCAACTGTTCATACTTGTCTCATGATCAGACAATCATCTGTTTTGATTGTCTATTTAGGGCATCCAGAGTCTGCCTACCATGTATGTGTGCCTTTATGCATCCACTGTCTCCAATATGGCTGTCTTTAAGCCAATTGGCACCAATTACTCCCAACCTGGCTCAGGACACCATTAACTGGGTGACGAAATAAGAGATGAACAATAGACAAAATACAAATTTTTTTGTTTTCTTTATAAAAGTCACCATTCTTTTCTATTGATCTACTACCTGTTAAATTTAAATATATTTTTTTTTAAAACAAGTTAAACATTTCGTAATTTTAAAGATTTTGAAACAATTTTGTAATTAACAAACATATTTATACATGTTACATGTTAGGCTCAAAGACCAAAATCGCTCATTGAATGAAAAAAACGACCACAACGCATTGTGGGCATTTCAAAACGACCACAAAGCAAAATTTACTTAATGGCTTTCATGATATTTGACCACTATACGTTTTGGTGATTAAGAAAAGCCATAATGCATTCTGAACATTAGCTGATACAACAACGATACAGAAATCATATGATGCACAGTGGTTTGTAACTTTAAAATATGGATTACAGGCTCAAAACATTTTTATTTACAATTTTTAATGCCAAACAACATTACAGTAGAGCCTCGATTATCCGACCCCCGATTAACCGATGCCTCAGTTAACCGACCGTCCTAGTTGGCAAATTTCAAATGTCCGCCAGTGATGTGGCGCTACAACATTTGGCTATGTCTTGGTTACTTTAATATTATTTTTACGTGTTTTAGCTGGCAACACTCATTCAACCATGAAAGGGAGCCAGTATTTAAACGAGGCTTAATTTTCTAATTTTTAACGATACAATAGCGACGATTATTATTTTAAAAAATTTTTGTTAGGCTTAACATCGATGAAAATTCAACACGAAGTAGGTTAATAGCGATATACTAATATACTAATTACATGGGATATAATAATATACTA